GGGGAAGGGAGGGAGGGAGGGAGGGAGGACTTTCCTCTGCATTAGTGTTGGCTCCAGGTTTACCTTGTTCAGTTTCTTGTGGGCCCCGCTGTGGTTCCCCTTCGCGAGGTCGGCGCCACTCAGGAGCCGGTATGTCTCTGCCACCTTGGGACTGAGGTCACCAAACACCTCCACTTTGGCCTCCAGGGACTCTCGCAGGATCGAGGCTGCTCTCTGTAAAAGGAACAAAAAGCTGTCTGGTCACAAAGGTTCAAACGCTGATGACGATCAGTGTCTCTTAAGAAAACGATGTGACTCACTGCCTGACAGTGGCCACATGGCCTTATTTATCCATGTCCCTGTGGAGCCTGTCACATGCCTTGCACATAGTAGACGCCTACTGGATGCTTGCAGAGTGAAGGATATCAACTGGGTTGTCCATGTAAATAACTAGTCAACTGTGGTCCAAACTCACCTCTTCTTGTCCAGTGACTTGTAGAAAATGGCAATATTCATCCTGAATCGAAAGAAACTTGGCTTTTCCTGTCCCTTCAGCATCCTTGAGGCTAGCCAGGCTCTCTTGAAAATACTGCTCAGCCACATCTGAAGAAAAGCATTATAACAACAACTGTGAAAGCTGCTTGCTGATTTGAAATGGAAAAAGAATAAATACGCTTTTAGCGGTGAACTATTTGAAAATAATAAGCATTTGGATAAAAGAACCCAGTTACTGAAACTGTCTTTTTTGCCTTTTAAGCTGCCTGTTTCGTCAGAAAAGATTCAAGTCTCAGAAGGATACCGCAATTTACTCTCCTTGTTTTCATACATCTTGGCTCTCCCAGTGATGCAGGAACACGAACTAGCCCCCAGAGCCAAAGATTTCAGTGAGTTTCCAGCTGATTAAAGAGACCCCTCTCTTTCAGCGGGGGGTCTGTCCACTCCAGGCCAGCAGATACACTTCTAGGGTACCACCTAGAGTATTTCTAGGGTACACTGCCTGGAAAGCATTTCATCTCTTTCACTCGCAGCTGACTCATGGGAGAAAACATCATGGATTTGATGCTCAAATTCAGTATTCGCTTTGGCTGCTTTGATGAGCTGGTGACAGCAAATGTGGCATGATGTGGCACTTATTTTGTTGACTCTGAAAGCATTACAGACATCAACATTCCATGTCTAAAAATGAACGGGAACATTCAGGAGTGGAGTACTCTGGAGATTTCTGTTTCCTGTCTCATTGGAAATGAACCAAAGAACGTAACGGAGCCCTTCTTGAAGGGTGAGGATCTTTCTGAGTCTCAGCCTTGTCCCCCGCAGATGAGCCCTCACTATAAATACCAGCAGGTGGAAAGGGTACAGGAAGGAGCTGGGGCTGACCAGGCTGGGACTGACTTTCAGACCCTAGGGTCTGGCAGAAGTGGTGCTGTGGTCAGATACAGGAGGAGGCCCAAGGGGACCAGGAGCATTGCCTTCCCCTTCCTGGGTAGCCACCGGGTCTCTCAGACACAGATGGACCCGGCCCCTTTCTTGCCAGTTTCTCCCACCTCTTGGTACTCCTTCCCCTAGTGGTTCCATGCTGACCAACTGCCCCCCAAAAGCACCCCATTTAAGCTAGTCTCCTAAACCTGATCGCTGCATGCTCCTTTCCCTTAGTGGAGCTGATCTCACAGAGATGCTGGGAGAAAGGAAGCTGTTCTGCCTAATTCAGACTAGCATGTAAATGGCTCATAACCTCTGACTCAGGGAGAGCTATTCATATTTTCCAAAGAGGATTCTTGTTAGCACATACGGATCTCTGGGAGAGTAGAATTGAGGGAGGAGGGATGGGAGGGGAGGGAGGAAGGAATTCATTACTTAAACTAAAGGCAGTGTGACTACTGAAGTGAAGGAAGCCAGGCATTGTGGTGGGACGTCAGAGATGGGCCCTGCCTGGGCATCTGCCCGCCAGGGTCAGCCTCCTAGAGCTGCTGCTCCCTTTCCTCCATTGTGCAGTCTTTAGCTTTCCCAAAGGTCCAGGTTTTCCCCATTTCTGTTCCTGGAAGGTCTCTAGCCAGAGGGAGGCGAGGATAGGAGGGCGGTGGCTCTCTGACATCTGTCATCAAGTACAATTCTGCCACACATCAGGAACCTTGTATATGAGACCAACCTGGTACTCAGGAACAGAGGGAGGTCTAGGGCACTCACTGTGGGCACCTTCTCTATCAATTGGAAATCACGCATCTTCACCTGGGATACAGGAAAACTCCCTAAAGCAAGGCCCTGCCTTATTTCTCTCATCCCTCCAACCCCCCAAATTAAATTTCTGAACTCTGAACTGAATCCCTCATCTTTGAGGGGAGAGCAAATTGGTCCAGCAAAGAAGTGAGGCCCTGATCAGCAGTTTGCTCTCCTGGGGCTGGGCCTCCCCAGGAGGTCCATCTGGGACAAGTGGCAAAGTGATTTCCAGAGGGACAGCTTTCAGCAGTGCGGGTGGGATGCCACCTCCCAGCCTGTGCCTTGTGGGTCCACAGAGAGCTGGTGGTTTCCACACTCCTCCACATGGCCATCCCTCCCTTCAAAAACCTCTTCTAGAATGCTCCGCAACCTGATGCCTGTGGCCTGGGCAGAGAATGAGTCACTTTCTAAAGCGGAGGAACATGACTTAGCTTGTAAACCTGAGCCCTTGCGCCACAGGTCAAGGCCATTAATCTGTTCCCATTTTCACTGCAATAGAATGGTTAGGCTATCTGAGGGTTAGAGTTAGAGCCAGGGAGGAAGTGTGGCCCCTGGGCAGGTTGGCTTAAGGTCCCCTCAAGGGCCCATCAGACTGTTCCTTCTGTATGACTTCATTCAGAGAGCAAGAGGAATACAGGGTTACAACTTGGCACACTGTGGGTCAGGAGGCTTTTAATTAAAATAAATTCCGGTAACCTGGCGCTCAAGGCGTCTGTCCTAGGCACCAGGTGGAACAGGGAGGGCAGCTTTCATGAAGAGGCAGGCCTGCGTGTACAGTGTGACAATGATCTTTTGTGACATTCTCGGGAAATAGTTTGTACTCTGTACTAACTGCAGAGGCATTAAGGACCTGGGGGAATTTGAAAATGGAAAGCCCTAGAGCCCAGCTTGGCCTGAATCCAGGGGAGCACCAGCACCCAGCAAGCAGATTGAACCCATTTAGATCCTGCTGAGTGTGCCCAGAGGGCACCTGCTGGGCTGGGGATGGGTCATGAGGTGGCCCTAGGACAGACATGCCCAGACAGGCTCTCTCCTAGATGCAGGGCCCTCAGTGCTCCACACTGGGGACCCTTTTCGGGAGGGACACTTTCAGAGGCCCCGGACACAGCTCCCAGGAGTGGCAGACCTGCTGCTCACTAGCCCTGTGGTCCCAGGAAGTCCATGGCTGTCTCTGGGGGCAGATTTGTAACAACAGGGCCCATAGGCCCGTCAGGGCCTCAGTCAACATGAAGATCTGCCTGCCTCAAATGTCCTCACCACCAGAAAACTGATCAGGACCCCACCCCCTGCCCCACCAGCACTTGGGGCCACCTAGGCAGTGGTCAGGTGTCCAGTAGCCTGAGGCCTGTTGTCCCAGTTGCTTGTCTTGATGAAGCATATGTGTCTCCCATAAGCTGCCCTAAAAATCCTCTTTGAAGCCAAGGCAGGATACAAATAACAGGCTTTTCTGAGGAGTTCTGAACATAATTTATGAGCCAGCACAAGAGTGAAAAACTGGAGCCTCGTAAAAGTGGTCTCAAAGCGCACGCACTTTGTCCGCAGACCCGGAGATGAGAGCAAAGCTGGACGGGGTTTCGGTCTGCCCCAGGTTGTCCCTCTGGGAAGGGAGACCTGGGGTGACGAAGAGGCCACACCCGCTGCTCTGCTGTTCCCAAGAGCTGCCAGCCCCTGCAGCCCACCTGCCCATCCTCCGGGGCTCCCTGGCTCCCTGGCCCTCTGCTGAGGCACCCACAGCCCTCGCTCTCTGGCTCTGGAGTGTGGTTAAGCAGGCAGCGCCTGGCTCTGTCTAGGCCTCGCTTTGACTTGCAGAGTGACCCTGGATAGGCCTTGGACCCCAAACCTCTAGACAGGATGTGATCTAAGCTGCCTTCCAGAGGTTTCTGAGAAGGGGGTCCTATTAACGATGGTAGAAAACAGGCAAAAGGCTTCCCTTTGCTTCCCTGGCGTTACCCCCAACCCTCTCTGGCCCGTGGAGCACAGAGCTGACACGGATGCTGACATCTGCTTGGGGAGCTCGGAGGCAGGCAAAGATGGGCCCTGAGTAGGAGCTGAGGAAGGACCTCTCGGGGTTCACGTGGGTCAAGGGGGGTGGGAAGGCTGAGGAGGAAGGGAAGGGGTGGGTGGTGTGCCAGCAGTGGCTTATACTCATTTCTCTCAGCAGGGGCAGCCAAGGAAGGTGAAGGACATGACTGTGGCTGCTCCCAGGTGGCCATGTCACCTGTCAGGAGCCCATTGGAGCTGAGTACATGGGTGTGCCAGGGGCTGTCTGACTTTCGGTCTCTCTGGGACCCAAGGAGCATCAGCAACCCAGGGAGCAGGGAGCGGCCTGGGGTGGGGCCGGGACCAGCATGGGGCAAGCTGAGAGGGCAGGCCACAGGAGGGAGAAGTGAGAAAGGGAGGGAAAAAAAAAAAGGGAGACTTCATCAAGATACAAGGGCCTACCTTCAGACACTTACAAATTTCATGACTACTGTGCAAATATGGGAGAGGCTAGGGCACGTGGGGGCCGGGGGGATGAACATATTTGTGCATAGGGAGTTATGTCTCAACAATGCACCCCACCCAAGAGTCTGGGCCACACAGCCAGGGATCCCACTCCGTACCCCGCGCCCTGATGAGGCAGAGCCTGCCCGGTTATGATGTCTCTGGACCCTGAAGAGCTCCTGGCGCCCTGGAGCCCGGGCTGCAGATGGGGCCACTTCCAAACAAGGCCGCCTGTGCTCAGCAGGCTGTGCCTCTGAAAGGTTTACACTGCAATGTACTTGGCTTCAAACCCATTTCATTTTAACATCTTTGATGAGAAGAGTTATAAACCCAAGAGAACCCTGAGCAGGGTTGGGAGAGCTGTTAATACCAAGTTTGTCTATGGCTGCTCTGCGAAGCCGGCCTGGCTCAGGTTAGTGACATTCCAGGAGCCTAAACTGGGAGTCCTTATGCAACACAGTCCTCCATGACTTCTAGGGCAGTTTTGTCTGCATAAGGAATGTGGGGAAGGCTCGGAGCAAAGGAATTAGCTTGAGTAAGGAGCCTGAAACACGCTGGGTCTTGGCCAGTGATATTCTTTTATTAGAGGGCAATGCCTTTCATGGCTATGGAGATTCCCCAAATAAGACATTTTTTTCTCATTAATTATTCTTTCTAAAAAAGTAAATCGTACTCAGTACAGACAGGTTTAGGCAAAAGGGAGCAGAGCTGAGATTCCCACGCATGTGAATTTCCTCGGCACATGGTGGAACATATTGGATCTGACCACCCCGCATTATACTCATGCTCTGCAGTTATGGACCTAGTGCTCACATTGGTTTTGCCTCACTCAGAGCCTGGAACATATATGAGTTAGTCACCATCAATTATGAGTTGATTTCACATAAAAATCTAGATAGATCTGCTGACATAAGGCTGCCTTCCACATGACAGCAATGGGCTGGAGCTGAACAACAGCTGCTTACTTTTGACAGGGTATGGGTTTCTCCAGTTTGCCACAGTCTTCACCACTCCCTATTATCTCTCTCATAGTACAGCCAACAGGTATCCTTGCTCTTGCTGCTACTGTTTTCTAATAACTACGTGCTTAGCTCACACTGCTTAGTTGGTTCCTATAGATGCTTAGATTTGTGACTGCTGCTATTCCAGGGATTTCCATCAAACATGCATCTTAAATATCTTATAACAGTTGGGAAATGCAAGGTTCCCCCTTCCTATTAAAGGAATTTTAGGCACCAATAAGCTGGTCAAAATGTTGGCTCTCTGGAGGCTTTGAAATTGATTGTTATGTATGCAATGTTCTAAGGTGTGAGAATCAGAAAGGTCGCCCGCCTTCTCTCTATCCCTAGATAGGCGCCTCCAGCTCTGAAAGACACTCGGAGCTCCAGGAGACCAGAATGAGGGATCAACAAAGTGGAGGGGACAGATAGATAAACACTGGTATCCCTTCACCAGCTCCTCCCTTAGCTGGACTCCTGCTCCCTGAACCCTACCCCCAAGCCTCCCTCTTACCAATTTTAGGCTTGCTGGTACACTGGACCTTATTTTACTATAATATATAATTATTTTTATCTGACATCTTGGAATACACCCTAGTCTTCTTTACCAGCTATACTCTGTTCCTGAATATTCTGACTAAAAAACAGAAAGTCACTGCAATGTGTGTTCTGCGTCAATAGAGGCATATTGCAGGCTCTGGTCCTGGAACGGCGGGTCAGAGAACTCCCTCCGCTCACTGCTCTATCTATGACGTGGGGCTAAGCAAAACCCTATGAGTCATATAAACGGCAACTTCCTTTCAGAATCCCAAAACCGTGTAAGTTCATCCTAATTGAAGGCTCAGCCCTGGGAGAGTCTGGACCAGGTTTCCAACGGGCCAGGTCTGTTGCCACGGTAGTTCCACAACAATCTTTAAAAATAGATCGCCTTTGAAAGCGGAGCAGATTTCCCTGTCAGTCCAGCATGGGTTCTCTGGGGCTCTTAATAGCTATGTTTGGATGAAGATTCACCGTATTTGAAAAGAAAAGATTAGAGGAAAGCTGAACAGGGAGTGTCACCACTACAGATGACTGGATAAAGCTACGAAGGATCTCGGCAGAGCCTAAGTCACAGCTCCGCCCACCTGCTCACCCATCCCGAAGGCCCAGATGCGTGCAGGCAGGCGGGGAGCAGGCAGTGCCCGTCACCCACGGAAGGCTGGCTCTCACCATGGTGCTCGGGCCTCCCAGAAGCAACGGCAGCGCAGGCGACACAGTGCGCGGACACAGCTGCCTCCTCTCCAGACGGCTCTCTGCTCAGCACGATGAGATGCGCCTGTCGCCATGGGAAGAAGAAACATGCTTGTTTCCGTGCTTGGCAGCAGGAACTGACTGTTCTTGCAGCGCTAAGCAGAAAGACAAGGAACTTTCTAGCAAGCTGGACAATGTGATTTATGTGGAAGCGCAGTCCACTCTTGGGAGAGATGGAATTTAAAAGCATTGTGTGGTGGGAGAGAGAAAGCACTGGACATGGGGTCCAGATGGCTCACTGCTGCAGCCAGGGCCCGTCACTAAGTAAATCATTTAAAAGGCTACGCTCCTAGGAGAGGGATGTCAGCAGAGGAGGTGGAAGGGTTTCAAGGAGGAAGGAGGCAGATTAAATGGACCAGTGCTGTGCAGAGGAAGTGCCAAGCCCAGACCCCTGGCCCCTGGTCAGCCCAGCAAGCGGAACCTGCCCCTGTGCCTGCAGCCTCCCTCACAGAAACATGGGTCCCTCCCCCAGCCTGCCCTAGGGAGCCCATCTGCCTGCATTCCCTGCAAACAGGCCCGGGAGAACCGCCCGAACACAGAACACAGCTCAGTTTCTTGAAGATAAAGCCAGTTTTTAAATTCTTTAAGGAAAAATACAACCCTATGATCCTAGGGACATAAAATAATAATTCTTTAAAATAAAATACAACACACATCACTTCAAATAAAAAGATACAAAGTACACAAATAAATAAAAAGGTAAAGCTACTCCTCATCAACAGTGGGAGTTTTAAAAATGCATATTAGTAATTTGTTTACATTCACCCAATAAACAGATACTTACAGATCACCTGCCACAGGAGAGGCATGGGCCAGAAAGTGAGGCAGCGCAGAAAGAAAGAGACAGAAAACATGAAGTCACACAGGGCACTGCTGGGAGAGGGTAGGTAGCTGGAAATTCACTGCCACAACAGAAAGACTGAAATACCATGAGTTTAAAGGAGAGAAGCACTAGGCCAAACATGCAAACAAGAAATATTTCAGCTGCACACTTTCATGCTTTTTCCTTTGCGAGGTCCACTGTCACTTTCTCGGCAACTGTTACTATCCCCATTTTATAGATGAGAAAACTGAGGTTGCTGAATGGGTGACTTGCCCAGGATGTCTCTTATCTACCACGTCAGGAAGGCTGCTGCTCCTCCTGCTCTGGCCCATGGTGGCAGACATTGCTAAAGATGCCAGCACACCCCATAGCGCACCCTGATTTATTCAGCCTCCAGGAGCTAGGACTAACCCATGGGAGCTGGCCTAGGAGATAAAAGCCACACTGCTGGACCCTTCCAGTCCAGGCCGAGCAGTGAGATGGGGACGCCAGGGAGACCTGCTCCCCTGACGACCAGTTTAATGCATTTCTGAGTCAGGAATCAGGGTCAACTCCAGGCTGTCATACGTTAAAAATCAACCAAGTTAGTAGCTAGTCACAAGTTTTAGTGCTATGTTAGAACCATTAGAAGTTCATATTCATAAATGCTAATAAGATCCCTAGTTTTGAAACTACTTTTGTTGTTAAAGGATATAAACAAATTGAAGTGACTTTTGGCAATGCCCAAATTAGTCATTACCCTCGATTTGGCCTGAAGCTCGGACTTGAAAAGCTTTTCAAATAATGGCAACTCCGCAAAGCAACTCCATGGAAATAAAGAAAATAGAAGCCCCAGGGACAAAGTCAAAGGACCATGGGTTCAGTGTCGGGGGGAGGAGAAAGCGAGGAGAGCCTGCGCCTCTGCAAATGCAAACTGAATCATGTTTATTTTGTGTTTCTGCCCTGGGCTCACTATCTCCACAACCCACGACTGAAGAGAACACGCTGTGATGCCAGAAAAGATTTAACTCGTATTGTTACAAAGACTTTTGACACACAGGATTTTAGATCAAAACTCGAATTCAAAATGATTTCACATGTATTTTGTTTCTACCCCCTTTGACTGTGCGGGTGCCCTGGCTCTGTCCCCCATTCAGCTTCCAGTCCTGTGCACACACCCCACTCTCACTCTCCATCCGCCCTCCTGCCGTGCCTTCCCGTCTTGTCAGCGCACAGGGCACCGTCCACCACTGTTAATGTCAGAAATGCCCTCAACTCCACTGAAGCATTATTTGAGATGGTAAAAAGGGGGGAACACCCTAAATATCCACCAGCAGGGGAACGAATGTATTGTGGTTGATTTATATAACAACTGAACTCTGTCTACATATCTTAATGTGGTTCCATTTCAAACACATGACACTGGGTGGACGAGCAACTTACAAAAGGACACAAACACTGTGGCACCACTGATTTTCAAGTTTCTGTTTTGCAGCAATGGAACCCCTTTTATGTCACATAGAATCTTCCACGTTTCTCTAGCAGAAAAAGCAGGTGAGAGTGGAGCTGCTCTCATGGGAGCAGGTGGAGAGGGCCTGGGAGCCTGCCTACCTGCTCCCACCCAGCTGCCCCCAAAAGACCCTCCATGGAGCATGGGGGCTTGGGGTGACAGAGATTGAGAACCGCAGCCCCACACTGTGCAGGAGGCTCCTCAGGAAGGGAGTACCCAGGACATTCACAAAGGTGGTGATTAGATTATACTATCTTTCCAAACTAAACCACTGCTCACGAGTCTGGAACAACCCTGTTTGTTAAGAAACAGAAACCCCCCTGTTGCATACACCTAAGGACTGGTTGTTGGAGTTCACAGAATCCCAGGAGCCGGGCTGGCCTCTTCTGCTTTATGCAGGAGCCTGAGTGATGGGCCCTGCTGGGGATCTGTGGCCTGACTGCACTCAGCCCTCGTTACTTATTAATCTCCCAGGCCTTGGATCTCTGCTCCCGTCCTTTGCTGCTGTCACTATTTTATGCTTAAACGTTCATCAACTGTCATCTTCAAGCTGAGGCGGACTGTTAAACGTTCCTAAGTCTCTTGAGCTGCTAGTGTGTTGTATTTGGTTCAACACACACACGTACAGACACAAACACTTCGAATGGCCATTTAAACCTTTAAAAACCACATTGAGCAAGTTGGTTAATTGAAAACACTAATTCACAGAACAACCACCCTGCCGCCTGCCAAAGTGCAGAGCGGCTGCTGCATCCTGGTCCCACTGAGTGTTTCTGGGAGAAACCAGCAACTCCTAATGCTTTTACAGCTGTCGTTTGATGCAGCCAGAGCCAGAGCTCCCGTCTAACTCCTACCTAGCTGGGCCTGTCCCCTTGCATTTGGAAAATGTGCCACAGTCCTTAAAGAGAAAACCTGATTATTGGTGAAAAGGATGTTTCTATTTATACAGGCAGAGCCCATCCTACCAACACTCCACTTAAAACAGCGGGAGGGTTCTGAGTGGAACCCCAGCTCTTGGTGGGAGGGGGGGATAGATTCCCGCCCCCCCGTTTGGTGATAACCAAGGGATCGCTGACACAGAGGGAGGGAGGGAGGGAACTAACATTGATAAGGCTCCTACTTTTGCCAGGCATGGTGCTGTGTGACTTACACACACCAGCCTGCTTAATCTCAAAGTAAGCAGTGGGAGTGCTAACAGCCCAGTTTACCGAGGGGGAAATGAAGCCTCAAGGAATTCAGCAAGTGGCTGAAGGTCACATGGTGGCAGGACATGGATTCAGACTAAGGCCTGTGATTCCAAATCGCATGCTTTTCCAGACTAAGACCTGGTGATTAAGATGGTCGGTGTTACAGAGGATGCTTTTCTAGTCAGTGGAATGAATCACTGTAAGAGTCGGGGTTGCTGAGTAGCAGACTTGGCCCAGAATTGAACGGGCTGATTAGGGGAGACTGAGCTGACAGTATGTGGACACCTAAGCAGCTTCTGAGAACTACCTGGACAGGGAGGCCATAGAGGGCAGCCAGGCAGTAAATAGTGGATGGAGCACACGCTGAGGTGCCTCCCACCAAATGCCTGGGTTTCTGCTTTGATTCAGATTTGGTCTTCGTTCCACAGAAGCTCAAATCTGCTGGTCATTGTGCGGTGTGAGCTTGCTGTGGTTCTTTTATAACTGACCAGTTGTGAGGCTGCATAGCTTTCGCTCTCGGCCCTGCCAAGCTGGCCATTCTACCCTCCAGCTTGGAGCTGACACTTGGTGCAAGACAGGGTCACGTTGCAGCCCAAGGGTGCCACTTCCTTTCCTGTCCCACCTCTGCCCAGGAGGGAAGCCTTTCATGGCCGCACAGCCCCCAGGGGCATGGGGCAGCTGGGAGGCCTTGGCTAAGAGAAAGAGGGAGCTGGGAATCCCTGGGGGAGCAGATGAAAGCCAAGTCACTGGGTGCTCAAAGCAACAGAAAACTGGGTTCTCAGGGATCCACACCGAGCCAGTTCTTTTAATAGTCAGAGAAAGTCCTCAGTGGCAGCTTTCCCGTTGTCAATTTTAGCTCCTCCAAAGGGCTGGAGAGAAAAGGCCCTCCTCTCTCTGTAAGGGTTGGCACCAAAACAGATGTGTCAGGGGCTTATTTTTTTTGTTCTCTTTGGTTGCAAGTATGTGTTTTCTTAAAACTTAACTAGGTTTTTAGATCGGAACGGTGATACCTGCCTATCATTTAAAAAATCCTAAGTGGTAGAACAGAACAAAGATAATTTTAAATGGTCCTCCCTTCTGTCCATAAGCCACACCCTCCCTTCTCCCCATTCCCAGTCTGATTCCTTACAGCTCACTGCTGTCAACAGTTTCCTGTGTATCATCTCAGAAACACTGATAAGCTTTATACAAACATAAGCATACACACACACACTCACACACACACACACAGGCGCATGCACAGTCATAACCTAGCCTGGCCCTTGTCTCAGCTCAGCTTCATCACCCCCACACCCCGAGCTCTCACCACAACAGCTCCTCTCTCACCTCCTCAACCTCTGGGAGTCTCATTATCAATCCCCATGGGATCCCCCCACCGAGTCTGAAGGCCCTGTATTTGGAGCTCTAGCGCCTGGTATCTCTCCCTGTGGTGCATGTCTCAGTTGCAATTTTAGGTTCATCAGCGCAGTTATTCAGCTGAGGTCTCTCTCACTCACCAGGCTGCTCCTTGCGGGCAGGACCCCTGACATCTAGACCTTCCATCACTGTCCCAGAGCCCACCACATTGTAGTGTTTCAGCGGTCGTTGTCCCACAGTTTTTCATTTTTATGCTGTCACTTTCATCAGTCTTTCTTCTCCTCTCTCTGTCTCTCAGTCTAGACCCATCTGTACATTCACAGTATCAGCTACTTCTGGGAGGGAAGGCCTGAAATGACCTGTAACTCATGTCTTTGTATTTTTCTGTATGGCTTGATGTTTTTAATATAAAGAACATTATCATGTTTTAAAAAAATAGTTATTACTTAAAAAGAAACTGTATGGAACCCAGATTATGCCATTCTTAGAACATTTTCATGATGTATAAAATCCTAATTATGTTCTGCCTCTTTTCTAATTTTTAACAAAAAAAAAGGCTGGCATTTTTCAGAAGTTTTGAAAATTAGAGCTAACAATGTTATAGCAAATACACAGCAATGAACAGGAACCCATCAGAAGAGCTGCCATGTGCTGAGCAGTCTGAATCTGCCAGGACCCATGTGTGACACCTGTCAGCCGTCATCTAGGCCTGGCCCAGGCCAGTAACTCTCCCGGAGCAGAAGCCTGAAACAGGATTTCCTGACCGACAGATTAGATTATTTCATTATACTTTGCAAATCAAAATTCTCTGAAGCTGGTAAGTGCTGAGTGGCTGCGCTGCTCAGATAACTGAACAGGGATGAATTCGAGCATCAGGGTTGTGAAACGGCCACACAAGCCAATGTGGTGTCCACTTATACCCCCTGGAAACACCCCCCACCAAGCACACACTGGCTCACAGCAACGAAACCCTGTCATTTCTCTCTCGGATGGAAAATAAGGTGCTAGCGCCAACATCTGCCAGGAGGAGTTTCAGGTGCGAATGGTTTCCTGCCGCAGAGCAACGAATGGGGCCTGACAGCTTCCATCCATCCCTGGGATGGCTGCCTTCCCCGAGGGGTGGCTCTGTGGGGCTGACTTTATTTTTCTCCATCTTAATGGGTTAATTCCTAAAATACTTTGGAACTTTTCTACATTCTGCAGGAAATAAAAGGTCTTTTCTCTCTGGGTGTTTCTGTCACTCCAAAGGAATGCTGGGTGAGAACAAGATGGGAAATAATCAAACCCCTCCTCTTTGTGTGTATTTAATAAATGACTTTTAGGCATGAACTGCAGCCACACGGAACCTTTCTGTATCTTCAGCAACATCCCTAAAGAGACGGGGAGCCTTGATAAATGTTTAGTGATGGTGGTTAATAAATACAAGTAGTGTGTCCTGGGGACAGGCCTAATGGCTCACAAAGCACTTTCCGTCCTGAGTCTTTGAGAGGCCCTGCAGGTCTTTTTCCTTCTTCCTGTCTTTTCCTGAGAGGTTAAGTGACTTGTAGAACCAAACAGAAGAATCTGAAGTCCAACTCAGAGCTTCCCATTTCAAATCCGGTGCTATTTAGGCTTCACCAAGCGATCTCGTGAATAATAATCAGCAGGAATTTCATTGAAACTCCCTCATCTTTATGAACCTCAAGCATAAACCAGTAAAAGTCACTTTGCAAACTTGACAAGTGTTATAAAAGTGAGTGGATTCCTCTATAACCTGGATACAGAGAAAGCCTTCTAACTATGACTCAGAACCTTGCCATCCCCTGAAGGTCAAGCTCCGTGTGACCTTCAGACCTGCACACCTGCTCATGCCTGTCTGCGTCTCCCTCACCTCTTAGCACTTTTGGAACCAGGCATCCACATTTATCACCTCACTACACAACCTTGTTTCTGTCTTTCTCATTGCCCTAGTGTTTCCCACAACAAGGTCATCAGTGAAAGAAAAGAAAGGAAAGGGAAGGAAAAATTTTTTAAATTCATAAGTACCATGGTGTTTTAGGCACTGGGCTAAGCACGTCACATATGTTAACGCCTTTATACCCCCAGCAATGCCATGTCCTCCATAACAGCAAAAAAAAATCAAATGACATAGAAGGTGTCTCTTCCATTTTTACTTTTTTCTCATGTTTTTCTTGCAAATTTGTCCCTGTGCCCTTTGGCAGGTTATCCAACTACTGGGTATAAGTAGATGACCTCCTGACCTATTTGCTGAGCTCCAGTACTCACTGCCTGTCTAGTTGTCACTTCCACTTGGGTGCCTCCCTGGGGGCTCAGACGCACCATCACAACCTGAGCTCGCCGTCTCCCCGTCACCCAGTCACACGTGCTCCCTGCTGTCCACCCAGGAGTCACCTTTGACTCTCCACCTTCCCTCTTTCCCCTGCATCTGGCCAATCTCCATATCTCACCAGTTCTGCCTCCTAAATCATGGTCAAACCCACCTACTTCTCTCCACCATACCATCCTCATGCCAGTTCAAGCCACCATCACCTTCTGCCTTCACTATCTCAATAGCCTCCTGACTGGTTCCTCTACTTCCACTCTAGGCACCTCCTCCCCAATCCACTCTCTACATATCACCCAGAATAATCTTTCTAAAAAAAAAAAAAACATACTGGGCTTGCATCTGAGTGATGCCATTTATTGGCGTAACTGTTACTCCTGGACATACCGTTCAACCTTTCCAATACTTGGCCTTCCTTGTCTATAAATTGGAAATGATAATATGTCACAGGGTGTTAGTAGTACTTTAGAGAGCTAATGCAACCCTGGCCAGTTTGGCTCAGTGGTTAGAGAGTCGGCCCACAGACTGAAGGGTCCCTGGGTTGCAGGCTTGATCCCTGGCCCCAGTCAGGGCTCGTGCAGAAGGCAACCAATTGATGTGTCTCTCTCACATTGATGTTTCTCTCTCTTTCTCTCTCCCCCCTCCCTCTCTCCCTTCCACTCTCTCTGAAAAGCAATGGAAAAAATATCCTCGGGTGAATATTAAAAAAAAAGAGAGATAATCCAGAAAAGTGATAGACTGGGACACTTTAAAAATAACCTGTGGGTGGGAATAAAAGGTCAGATACATTTAAAAAAGCCACAAAGATCTCTCAGTACCCTGTCATTATATCTCTCATTTGAAATAATAGGCATGAATTAGTCTGTATTTTACAACTTTAACAGGAACAAATTCTCAGAAAACAATTTAAAATGTGCTTTCAGCAGATGCTATGACACAAAAACATCAAGCTCTCTGTGATGGTTAATTTTAGGGGTCAACCTGGCTAGGCTACTGTGCCCAGTTGTTAGGTCAATACCAGTCCAGATGTTGCTGTGGGTGTATCTTGTAGCGGGATTAACATTTACAATCAGCAGACTCTGAGTAAAGGAGGTTACCCTCAACAATACTGAGCTAAAGGCCTAAAGAGCAAAGAGCCGAGGCTTCCCAGAGAAGAAGGAATTCTCTCTTGGAGGTGGAACATCTTGCTCGAGTTTTTGGCTGGCCTGCCTTCCTAATGGATTTCAGACTTCAGCAAGTAACAAAGCCAGGCGATCTCAGAGCTGCTACTTCACTTGTCTTTATGGAAAGCACTGGGGCCAGTGTGTTGCAGGCTCACCTGTAAAAAGTGGTTGATGGACTCCTCGTGAAGTTTCAGGACTTGTTCTGCGCCTGCCAATTCCCTCAATATGGGCACACATTCAAGACTTTTTTCACCTTTGCTGATCTGGGTATATTCTAAAGCCTCCTGGTAGTGGGGCAGAGCTTCTTTTGATTTCTTCTGACCTTGATACATCCTAAAAAATCAAAGTGATTATTTTTAGAATTAAAATAGAAAGCACTGGAAATACATGTGGTCTGGTAGTGAGGGTCTGGCTCTCAGATCCCTGTTGGCCAGGTTTGTTTCCTAGCCAGCTGAGGCGTCTGTCTCCTCCAAAGGCACAGTGGTCAAGAGGATGGATTCTGGAACAACCAGGAAGGTTCAAATCCTGGCTCTACCACTTACTGGATGTACAGCCTTCAAGCTGCATAACCGTTTCCTCATCTGATGCTAAGATTGATAACAGTGCTCGCTTCACTGGGCTATTGTGAAGATTAAATTAGTTAATATTCATAAAAACACCAGAACAGTGTCTGACACATAGTAAGTGCTAGGTAGGTGCCAGTTTGAAAATTATAAACTACTTGCCCGGCTGGCGTGGCTCAGTGGTTGAGCATCAACCTATGTATGAATTAGGAGGTCACAGTTCGATTCCCGGTCAGGGCACATGCCTCGGTTGTGGGCTCAATCCCCAGCAGGGGGTGTGCAGGAGGCAGCCGATCAATGACTCTCTCCCATCATTGATGTTTGTTCCTCTCTCTCCCTCTCCCTTCCTTTCTCTGAAATCAACAAAAACATATTTAAAAATATATGAAGTACTTAATAAAACAACGGCAACCATAAAGATGCCGAGATCCTCATAACTGATCTGTTGAGAAATTACAGAAATTTCCCAGTATTGGTGAGAGTGTGAGGCACTCTCATGAACTGTTGGGGAGAATATAATTTGGGCATAAATTTCTGCATCAAAACTGTATGCATATATGTACACACACATTTCTGCTATTGCACTTTCATAGTTTATCTTGAAGAGATACTCTGGCAAGACAAGAAGATCTCCATATAAGAATGTTTACCTAAGCATTCTTTGTAATAGTGGGAAAGTACAAAGCACTTAAAATACACCAATAGGCGATCGTCCAAGCAGGTTACAGTAAGTACATCCATACTGTGGGATGCCACTTAGCCATTAAAGCTAATATTGATCCATAATTATCAATATAGATGTGTATTCACTATATATTCTTCAGCAAAAAGGCAAATTACAAAAATACTTTGTATACTGTGTGAAAATGCTATATCTAACCTGTATGCACACAAATGCATAAGGAGATATCAAGCATTGCCGGGCCTCCATCCCGCACTAGTGAGAGGAGCCTGAGTTGAACAGGCATCGAGCATTCCAGGCACACGCATCCCACGGGAGGAGCGGACAGGAGGGATGTCTCCTCTGAAAACAGCAGAGCGTTTCCCAGGAGCGAGAAGGGGGAGAAGCAGGGCTTTGAAAACATGAGCGTTTGTCAGAGCCTTTCCGCCCAAAAGCTAAACGCACAGAAAGTGATTCATTAAAGAAACATGTCTAGAGAGGTGCGACCTAGACACTGAGGACCTTCAGGCAGTGGTATGAACTAAAAAAATGAACGCTGGGTCCAGAAAGCAAAAGTCCAACCTGGAGATTACTGGCTGGGCCGACGCTGAGAGGACTGTGGAGTCTCAAAGTACAGCCTCTTACTAAAGTATCAAAAATTCCCAATAAAAGCCAGCGGGAATGCTCCGTGGGGAAGCACCCAGAACTATCTAGAATTCCATCCTAATGAGGTGATGGCAGGTGGATGTATACGGTCCCACGAGCCACTGCTTTGTTTTATTTTCTATTATCTTCTACCTGTTTCCAGGAAGCACTGGCTAAGGGGGAAGCCACCCCCCTCTCCTCCCCTCTCCTGTGTTAGAATCACTTTCCAAATCTGATGACCACAATGAATCAAGAGAAACCAAGACCAAGAAACAAACTGAAGCTTTAAAAGGAAACAAAGACGACGATCTGATTTGCAGCTTAGGCGGTTCATGACCAAAGACAAAAGCACTCCGCCTTCTCAAGTCTAGGAAAAAAATACGAAAAGCCAGAATGTTAAGCTGTGAGGTAAGTACGTGCTTTAAAATCTGAATCATTCCTGGGATGAAGTCACAGAAAGGAAACTGTTCTACTAGAATGTTCAGTGATAATAACTATTTTTAATATTTATTATTATTATTTTAATCCTTACCTGAGAACATGTTTCTATTGATTTTAGAGACAGAGGAAGGGAGAGTGGCGGCGGGAGTGAGAGAGAGAGAAACATCGATCGGTTGCCTCCCACGTGCGCGCCAACCAAGGATTGAACCCACAACCCAGGTATGTGCCCAAACCCGCAAACTTTTGGTGTAAGAGATGATGCTCCAACCAAATGAGCCACCCAACCAGGGCAATATCACTACTTTCTTAAAGGGCCTACCATGTAGGGTATCCAGATGCTTTAATGTGGGGTCCATGTCATCATCAAAGCAACCCTGTGAGGGACTACTGTCACCACATTTAACCGGGACATTGAATGGATGTTGAATTGACCTGGGGCTCCCTGACTCTAAAGCCCACACTGTCAGCTACATCACATCACATCCCTTAAAGATACCTGGGAATTGTCCCGTAGATGGTGTATGGGCATACTTGAGAGCTCGCTCAGCTCAGCAAGGCCAGGCCAGGTGCCTGCTGAACAAGCTGGGGAGACTCTGAAGATGACACTACTGGTTAAAGAGCACGCCTGGCCAGGTCGCGTTTTTTGGAGCAGCTATCTCAATGGGTCAACACAGTCATGCCACACAGAAAGATCATTCTAATAACTCTCTGTGTGTGTGTGTGTGTGTGTGTGTGTGTGTGTACATATAGAGACAGCTACCTGTCTTGGGGATCTAGCTATCAGTAACCAGGATAGAAAATAATTCTTAGCACTAGGGAACTTTGCTCATTTTTGCTCTTGACTTTCTTGATCATATTTAAAACAGTTGCAGGAATAGGAACACATGATTAGATCCACTCTCCAATGTTAATAAATAATTACTGGATGAAGTGGTGCTGGAACAGAGGCGGACAGGTAGAAGGGACAAAGCTCTAGGCCACAGTTAGGGATGGAAGGCCTGGAGCATGAGTCACTCTGCAGCACTCATCTGTCAGCCCGAGGAGAAAAGAGCCGGCCTGGCCTGATGGGCACCATAAAAGGTGCCACAGACAGAGGAAGTGGATGCACCTAAAAGATACCCTTTTAAGAGAAACACAGATCCCGTGAGAGCTGCCTGAGGAATTATCCCGGCCATCCACCTCCAAGACCTGGCGAAAAAGCAGGCCCTTGTGGTTGTGACTGTAACTGCAGCAATGCACAAAACCGAAGTCTCATTACTTTCTATGAGGCAGCTCAGTTTGGGCAAAACATTCACACTTCAGCGAGGAAACAAAGCCAAGAGACTCCATGAAAACCATCAATTAAACAGGGCTGGGTCACGGTGAAGACTCACGATGGGAAAAAAGTAGCAAAGTTTAAAACAACTCTGCTAAATACAAGGTAACTTTTGTAGGGCAGCTCAGAACTGGAACTCGCTTTGTCACGTATTCGGCACAGATGCGTATGAGGCGCGCCACCTGCTGGCAAGGTTTGGCGCTGCTAATCTGGAAAGCACTCAGGAGGGCCCGCAGCTCTGGGCCCTTCTGGGGTCGAACCTGGGACCCTTCCATCCATGTGCCGACCCTCTAACCACTGAGCCAAACTGGCCAGGGCGAGTTTCAGAGGAAGACAATTTACTCTATTTTGTAGCAACATTGTTCAACATGAAGCACAAATAACATTAGTCAGATCTCAACACATGGCAACAAATATCAGATCTTGGACCTCGGATTTGCCTATTTCCTATCCTACAATGCAAGACAGAATACCTACTCCCGGGCAGGGAGAAATTCTGGATCGGTAGCCTTTCACAAACATTTCTCTCTTCTTCCTCCCATTACATAAATAGAATCGTATAGTATGACGAATTCTTTGGGGTCTGGCTTCTTTCACAAACATTATGCATGTGAGAGCTATCCATGATGTTAATTATAGGAGTACGCTGATCATTTCCTTTGAATGAATATATCAATTTTCTCTACCTTTTTTTTTCTTTTAATGTCTTTTTTGATTTCAGAGAGAGGAAGGGAGGGGGGGAGAGGGAGAGAGAGAGAGAGAGAGAGAGAGAGAGAGAGAGAGAGAGAGAGAGAGAGAGAGAGATTGATTGAAGGCAACATCAATGATGAGAGTCATTGATCGGCTGCCTCCTGCACGCCCCCTGCTGGGGATCGAGGAGCCTGCAACCCTGGCATGTGCCCTGACCAGGAATCATCTCCTGGATCCTAGGTTGATGCTCAACTGCTGAGCCACGCGGGCCAGGCTCTAGTCTGCTTCTGATGAACATTTGGGTTGTTTCCAGTCTTTGGCTATTACCAGTAATGTACCTTTGGACACTCTCTGCCATGTCTCTTGATGAACGTGTATGCATTTCTGTTGGATGTGTATTTAGGAGTGACACCGCTGGGTCATAGAGTACGCAAACTCTCAAATAGAACAGATAGGACCAGTTTTCTAAAATAGTTATACAAAATATAATGTATTCTAAACAACAACATCAGAAAAAACATAGGAGAGCATGACATCTTTGCTGACACTTGACAGTATCAGTCTTTTTTTAAAAAAAAAATTACCTATTCTAGTGGAAATGTAGTATCTTATGATTTTAAATCTCAGTTATCTGATGACAAATGAGATGGACCACCATTTAATGTTTAGTAGCTAAGTGGGTAAACTTTTTCTGTGAAAAGTCTCTTGCCCAAATTCCTATTCCATTGTTTGTCTTTGTTTTATTGACATACAGTTCTTTACAGATTCTAGAGATAAGTCCTTTGTCAGTTACGTGCATCACAAGTGTCTTCCTCCTCTCCATGGTACGAAATATATGGTGATTTAAATACAGAAAAACATGTACCAGAAAGAAGGGGATTAAAGAGAATGAACATATTCAAAGGTCCCTGCATTGTCTAGGAAGTGCTTAATTGACTAATTTACATGGAAGTCTAATAAGTCAGGGATATAACTGACAAATCCTATGGTAATCATTAGAAGAAAAATAAAATAATGTATAACTTACCAGATAATAGGTAGAAAAATGGAATAATAAAAATATTTGACCATACTAAAGAAAGGGAAGAAAGGAACATAAAACTGGTAAGAAAAAGGGAAATTTAAGCTCAAATATATCAGTAATTTAAACAACAAAAAAAAGATTAAAAATTAAGGGATAAAAAAATATTTTAGGAAAATTTATACTAAAAGAGAGCTACAGTATCAATTTTAAGGTCAGGTAAAATGATATAGATATAGGGCAGAGAGGACAATATACAATGACCAATAAAATAGATTAACAGCCCTGGCTGGGTAGCTCAGTTGGTTAAAGCATGTCCCAATAAGCCAAGGTGTGGGTTTTACCCTCAGTTAGGGCACATACAAGAATCAACCAATGAATGCATAAATAAATGGGACAACAAACTGATGTTTCTCTCTCTCTCTCTTTCTCAAGTCAATAAATGAGAACTGCTGTTTTGCCTTAGCCAGTTTGCTCAGTGGTTAGAGCATCAAACCGTGGACTGAAGGGTTGTGGGTTCAATTCTGGCCCAGGGCATGTATCTCTGTTGCAGACTCAGCCCCAGTCAGGGCGCATGTGGAAGGCAACCAATTGATGTGTCTCTCTCACATTCATGTTTCTCTCTCCCTCTTTCCCTTCCATTGTCTCTGAAAAGCAATGGAAAAAATAACATCAGGTGACAATAAAAAAAAACAAAAAAAACCTTGCTGTTTTAACCTCCTACCCAACAGAGTATATCAGACTATATAAAACAATGACTGGCTTAACCATGGACAGCACTAGATAGTCCAATAATTGTACGTCAAAATTTAAGCACACTTATCTTCAAAATTAATATATCAAATTTGCAAAAGATAAACAAAAATATACATTTGAATAATAGAATTAATAAGGTCACCCTAAGGCAGACTTATTACAACTTTACACATAACAAGTAAAGAATACAATTCCCTTTGTAGCTCACATGGAACCTTCACAAAACTTGACCATGGGCTAGATCCCAAAGGAAGCTTCATAAATTTCAGAGTCCATACCATACAAATATGTTTCTGTCTATAATACAATAAAATTAGACATCAATAGCACTGAACACACTGAAAAATCTCATGTGTTTTCAAGCTAAAATACCTATCACATGAATAATTGTAGGGTAATTTATATACTAAGTTGTGTACACTAAAAATTTAATGTCTGCAATAATGTTGTGTCTTAAACATGTGGTTTCCTGAGCACAATGACATGAAGGTCAACTTGAATACTCTGAAATCCAAAATAATAATAATAATAATAAACATGTGGGACAGAGTTAAAGCAGGACTTCTAGGAACAATTTTGAGAATATCTTTGGCATTTGGGTGGGAAAGATTTCCTAAACAAACTCCTAAAGCATAAACCATTAGGTTCAAAAGTAATGGTTTTGACTCTAGGAAAATTCAGAATTTCTCTGCCATGAAGAACACCATAGACAAAAATTAATAAATGGGCAGAAGAGTTGCAATAGCACTAATTTATAATATATAATAAAATCCTGATTATCAACAAGAAAAATACAGGAAGCCCCACAAGAAAAATGAGAAATACTAGCAGGCTATTCAGAGAAAGGGAATCCCAAATGGCTAAGAAGTGTCTGAAGAGGTACTCAAAGTAGCTGATAAGAGAAATGTAAAAATAATTAGGTAGCACATTATATGCATCATGTTGGCAAAGGTTAAAGGACAGACAATGCCAAATATTGTTGGGGACATGAGAAAACAAGAACCCACCTGTGCTGGGATGGGGGAGTAGCATTGGCCAGTGTGCGGTAAACTTGAAGTACAATTGTATCCTGTGACCACACAATCCTACCCCTGGGGTACAGACCTCAGAAAAAGTCTATCTTAGCTGTAAGCGTGGAGCTGGTCAAGTATGTTCATGGCAGTGCATGGTGGGAGCAGGGAGCTGGGCACAAGTGTCTTGTTAGGATGGCTAAGCACACTTGGTAAATGCATTCTATGGAGCACTGAGCAGCAGCCAGAGGCAACGAACAATTGTACAGGCAACGACGAAAAACAATGCCGAGTGGGGAAAAGGGGAGACACAGAGCGAGATTTGTACCACGAACTTACTGCCAAGTGACATGTGGAGGTGTATCAGGGCTGCACAAAATATTGTCATGACTGTAAAAACCATGGACCTAACAGCATGCAGAAGCCTCCTGCCCAGAGACAGAGCCTTCTGGCAAAGAACCTTCAGCCCTCGGGTATACAAAAAGTCCTGAACTGGAAACTTACTGTGCAAAGGACAGTGTGATCTGCGCTTGGATTTCTATCCACTCTTCCTTTACAATCCTTCCACACTGCAGCAGCTCCTCCAAAAGCCTCCTTGCTTTTGTCAAGTTCTCTGCAGCTTCCTTAAATCTGAGGTGCGTTCAGGAAACCTGACCCTGGGCTCTGGATTCCGGGACCCTAGTTCCTGGGCATCCTTGGCTCTCATGCTCCCCAGCCCCCTTCCCAAGTCATCTGTCGGCTTTGAGAATTTAATACAAGGAACATGCGCAGTGTTTCTATTTGTAAGTAAAGGCAAAAGGATACTTGTGAAGGGAGACTAAGGCTCTCCCCAGGGTATGAAATAGCTCAACCGAACACCTGAAAACATCTGTGTTGTCGTCATAGGGAGGCACAATGCAGTTGGTGAGGATTTCTTTGGCTTTTTCGGCATGTTGTTTGGCCTGGAGTGACAGTCCTGTGGACAAAGAAAAAGAAGTCTCAGTTTCTCTACACCTCAGCGGACAGGAAACCTAATGAGGTCTCCTTCACCTACTGTCAGTGGAGAGATATCGGGGCAGCAGGAAATATTGTCATGATGGTAGCAACCAAAGTATTCTAGGCCTAGTACTGAAGATGAAATTTCCACACCTTAGTATTCAAAATAAGATAATTCCCCCCCAAATGGTCTTTTTAGAAATAAAACAGAACAAGCAGGAACTGAACAGCTTTGAAACCTCACCAATATCAGACAATAAATAGGTTCTAAATAATTATTTTAAAAACCACACAAATTGAATACAATATAGCATCCTGGGCAGGAAATAAGATATTCAGGATATTTACTCCTGGCTTTGTCGCAGCAATTTTAATGAAACACTAAATTCGGAATCTTCTGCTTCCCCTCTGTAATCATACTTTGGAGAGTTATTTTAACATAATACAAATACGATGATATTTACAAACACAGTTCCAATGAGGTAATATAGGCTTATGTGCTGGAATCTCTGCGTAGAGAGGAGACTGATCATGATAACCTAACCCTTGCAGTTAAGTGTGAGCCCAAATTTAGGGAAAGAACAGAATCCAACTGACTGAGCCTCCTTGGTCGGAGCTGAGCTCACCTTTCAGCTGGAGGTAGCCTTGAGCCAGATTAACATAGGCCTCTGCTAGTTTCCAATGGCAGCTGCCGTAGCAAATCCTTGTCAATGCTACACAGCGCACGAGCTCCTGGACCGCCTGCTTATACTGTGAGGAAGGGAAAGCAAGCTTAGCATTTAGACAACTGAAAACATAGAGCCACAAAGGACAAAATCACTTTGGACTTTTTTTTATTGAGTGCCTACTATGTGCTAGATGTGGTTCTAAGCACTTGGGATGCATGAGGAACCAAAACAGACAAAGAGAGGCTTAGGGCAGTAGGGCTTAATTGTCTAGCAGAACTCTGGCTGAGAAAGGCTGCTAACCTAGGTCTGCCTAGCACAGGGCCTGGCACATAGTAGGTACTAAATAAATATCTGCTACATAATAAATAAGATACATTCACAATCGGATTCATGCCCTCTCTCCATAATCCCGCTCTTCCTCGGTATTGATTACAAAGACAAAGGGCACCTCCAGTCAACAAGCCAGCTGAGATCTGAATCAGAGATTATACATGCTCTTCAGGTTCGCTCTCACCTCTCCATCCCCTACGTCCCCTCAGTCACCAGGTCCCACTGATTTGCATTTTCAAATTCCTGTCACAAAATATCAGCATCTCTGTGGTCTCTGCTGTAGTTTGGGCTCTTAAAATTCCTTGCTGGGATTACTGCAGATACGTATCCTTTAAACTGGCCCTCCTCCCCCAGTTTTGCTCTCTTCTCCAGCCATCTGAGTGATTATTCCAGAAACTCAAACCTACTCATGGCACTCTCCCGCTTATAGTCCTGTGATAGTTTCTTACACCTTTACGAGAAAAATCTAAACTCTTTCCCTGGACATGGAAAACCCTTCAGGCCCCAGTGCCTAGCCATAAACCAACCTCATTTCCTGCCCTGTGTCACTCAAGCCTGCCCACATCCCACGGAAACAACTTAAGTGTTCATTGGTGGATAAATAGATTAAGAAAATACACATGTATATACACAATGGAGTATTATTCAGCCATGAAAAGGAAATTCTGCCATTTGCAACAACATGGATGGACCTTGAAGGCATTATGGTAAGTGGGGAGTGGGCAAAATGGGTGAAAGAGGTCAAAAGGTACAAATTTCGCCCAGCTGGTGCGGTTCAGTGGTTGAGCATTGACCCATGAACCAGGAGATTACGGTTTGATTCCAGGGCATATGCTCGGGTTACGGCTGGATCCCCAGCAGGGGGCGAGCAGGAAGCAGCCGATCAATGACTCTCTCTCATCTTTGATGTTTCTCTCTCTCTCTCTCTCTCTCCCTTCCTCTCTGTGAGATCAATAAAAACATTTAAAAATAAGGTACAATTTTCCAGTCATACAATAAACAAGACCAGGGATATAATGTACAACATGGTGACTATAGTTAATAATACTGTATTGTATATTTTGAAAGTTGTTAAGAGAGTAGCTCTTAAAAGTTATTATCACAAGAAAAAATACTACAACTATGTGTAGTGATGGAAGTTAGCTATACTTACTGTGATTATTGTGCAATAAATACATATATTGGATCATTATGTTATATACTTGAAACTAATGTCATGATATATGTCAGTTATATATTTTCTTGCACCAAACTCCAGACAGTGGGAATGTGACCTAAGCTATAGAGTAGGCACAAAACAAATATCAGAGCACAGGAATAGAAAAGGGGCGCTCCTTACTTCATGCCTCCTGGAATAGGACTTGGCTTTCTCTTCGCAGCGATGGAGTTTCTCTTGAGGAGGCTGGAAGAGGACTGTCTGAGGCAGCTGGTTTCCGATCTTTCTAGGCGTTAAACTGACGGCAGCAACAATTTCATCTAAGTGGTTGGGTATGTGGGTTTCCTGTGATTCTTGCATATTTTTATATACATTATCCTCTGGTTTTTAAATAAGAAAATAAAGGTGTTAAATGATAACTTCCATGTTTATTTTTAGAAATATGCATTTTTTCCTAGAAATTGAGGCCAGACTCTAGGAAAATTTCAACAATATACCTGCGACTTCTTTGAAAATAGTAGCACTCTAGTCACAAAAAATCCTGGTAACTAGTATTGACTTCTTTGTAAAACTTTCAGAAGAATTTTCAGTTTAAACCAAACATTCTTTTTTTTTCAGTCCTCACCTGAGGATAGTTTTCCATTGCTTCAAAGAGAGCGGAAGGGGGGGAG